TGAAGGTAATGAAACTGATAGATCTTCTGGATTCATTCTTTACAATATCTTATTTTGCTTACATGTATCTTCCCATGTCCCTCAACTTGTTCTTCTTAACCTCTAATATTTCATTGTCAGATGGTCATTAGGAGACAGCCTTACTTATGTGAGGAATTAGTGTCAATTCTATGTAGGATGGCATCTGTGTTTATGCAAGAAATGCTCCCTGATAGAAACAAGGTATAAAGCTGATTGATGTCTTAACACAACTGAGGGGCTCTCTGCTGGCAGCCAGGATTATTGTTTCATAGTAGAAAAACTGGTAGAGAAAATTGAGTTCTCATAATAAATTCCATAACAGCAGCTTAGCTGTAAATGATTTTTTAAAAGTCACTTGACTGTGCAAACTGGTTAGAGCAGAAATATTTTAATGATATATCAAGAGCTTAATGTCAACCATCAATGTCCAATAAATGAAAATTACTTTTAGTGATACATCTGGAAATATGATGGTTTTCTTGAGCCAAAAATCTCTCAAGCTTTGCATAAAATCTAAATTTTATTTTTACCGTGTGCCTGTTCTATAAATTCCTGATATCTGTGATAGAGGAAAAGAAGATAAAGTAGGTACTACTTGGGATGGTGAAAAATGAGTCAAATGTTAAGACATGTTAAATTTATTGTTTACTCATTGAGAGAAAGAAAGTGAAAAATTTATTTAAGGGAAACAACTTTACTTAAAGAAAGGGCAATATTTTAATAAGCAGGGAGGGGAAAGGGAACATATGTTGAAATAGGAGCAGCATCATTGGAATGAAAAATGCAATGTGCCAAAATAGCTACTTTGAAGGGGAAAGCACGCCACTGAATGGAAAATTTTGTTACGTTCTCGTAAAATCCCAACTTTATCTTCATTTTCATCTGTTTATTCATTTAACTAATATTTACTGAGTACCCACTCTGTGTACTGCATTGTGCAAGGCATTTGATGATATTTCAGTGAATAAGATAGTCAGTTTCTTCTGTCACGAAGACTACATTTAGTTGAATTTTTATTAATTGATTAATTCATGTACTCATTATATTAGGTAAAATGAGATTTAGCTATGTGTTACAAGAAACTTGAAATAACAAAGGTTTTAAACTAGCATCATGTAAATATATAGATCATCTAGACATGAGATTGTGGCTCCATCATCTTGAAAAACCTTGAGTTCTTTCATTGTGCTGCTCTGCCATTCTTAACTAGTGTCTGCACTTAGCTTTTTGAGCCTGTTTCCTTTCACTGAGCATAATGCATTGAGATACAAAATGCTGTTTGTATCAATAGTCTATTCCTTTTATTGAGTAGTAGTAGTTCATTCTATGGATGTCTGTTTATATATTCCCCAGCTGAGAGATTTTGGGGTTGTTTCAAGATTTTAGCTGTAAAATTGCTATAAATATTTGCTAATAGGTTTTTGAGCAAACATAGGCCCTTTATTTCACTTTGGTAAATATCTAGGAGTGGGAATATTGGATCATATGGTTAAGTGTATACTGAAATTTATGAAAACTGTGAAACTGTTTTGAGAGAGCTGTCCCATTTTGCATTCCCACCAGCGATATTTGAGACTTCCAGTTGCTCTGCATTTCATCAGCATTTGGTATTATCATTTTTAAAGCCATTCTATTAAGTGTATAGTAGTATTTCATTTTGGTTTTAATCAGCATTTCATTAATTACTAATGATAATGAGTTTTTTTTCATGTGTTTTTGTTATCTGTAGATCTTCTTTGGTAAATGTTCAAATCTTTTGCTCATTTAAAAATTTTTGTTGTTATCTTATTTTTTTTTGAGTGTTTCTTATTTGAGTTTTGAGTGTTCTTTGTATATTGGACTGTCAGAAAAGTCATGATGCATGTTTGCGACACATGGCACTAGTTCATTTTTGGAAGTACTAGAGTCATTCACATCTATGTTATTTCTATGTCATTTGACAGTTGACAGTTCTAGCTTCATTCTAAAAAAAATTTGAGTGATTTGGTTGATTTTGGAGATTTTACAACAAGTTGAAGATGGAAGACCAAACTGTGAATTTTTGCCATATTTTACTGTTTTACATCCATAAAGGGAAGAATGCGCATCAAGCTTGTGAAAAGTTGCATAAAGTTTATGGTGACAATGCTCTACAAGAATGTCAGTGCCAACGATGGTTCACGAAATTCTGTGCTGGTGATTTTGATCTCAACGACGCTCCTCAGTCAGGGAGGCCCACTGAGGTTGATTATGACAAAATAAATGCATTGATTGAGTCAAACCCACATTACAAGACACGAGAGATTGCAGAAACATTGAACATCCATCATTCAAGCATTCAGGACCACCTGAAGAAGCTGCAATACGTAAGCAAGCTCGATATTTGGGTTCTGCATGAACTCAAAGAAGTTCATTTGATGGTGCATATAAACATCTGCAATATGCTCATTAAATGTGAGGAATACAATCCTTTTTTGAAGCGACTGATAACTGGTGATGAGAAATGGATTGTTTACAACAATGTGGTGCTCAAACAGTCTTGATCCCGACGTGATGATTTGCCTCAAATGACATCGAAAGCAGATATTCATCAGAGGAAGGTTATGCTCTCAGTATGGTGGGATTTTAAAGGTGTTGTGTTTTTCGAGTGCCTACCAAGGAACCAAACAATAAATCAAACAAAATGGGCAATATATCATTGATTGATCTTTGTTCTTTATATAAATAAATGACCTTTGAAAAACATAGACAAAATACGTCATGACTTTTCCGACAACCCAATATATTGGCTACAAGTCATATGTCAGATATATGATTTGCAAGTATTTTCTCCCTGTCTATGTTTATCTTTTCATTTTTTCAGCAGTGTTATTTGCAGAGAAAATGTTTTTATTTTTGATAAAGTTCATTTTATATATTCTTTTATGGAATGTACTTTGTATCTTTTATATTTGTATCTTAACATTTGATTTTGACATGTTAAAAACCAAATTTTATAAAAACAATAATAAATTCCTCTTAGCAACAGTAGGTTATCTACAAGTAATACATTAATTATAGCTCCTAAATGTGACATCAAACAAGAATTTGATAATTTATGCCAGAAGAACCAAATTAGAGTTATGAAAGATGAGACAAGGATCAACTAATATTAATCTTTAAAATATAGAGATAAAGTGTTTTAGATTTTGTACAATAGTAGCATGTAAATACATGACACAAAATGCTTCATGAGTGTCTCAAATATCCATTCATTTATTCATTAAAAAAAAAATTTTACTGAGCACCTAACCATGAACCAGGCACTGTATTCTAGATGGGGGCACACAGAAGAATATGATGGGAGGCAGAACTTTGGACAAATAAATCAACAGATTATACCATAACGTGGTAAGAACAATGGTTGGCATACGTTCAATGTAAATCATGCTTCTTTTTGCACATGTAGTGGTTTCATCACACTTATCTCAGTTCAAAATTATTTATCTGTGTGACTTGATTTCATGTTTGTGTCTCTCATGGTATGTTCCAGGAATATAAATACTAAGTGTTTTCTTCATTGTGGTTGGCACATAGTAGGAGTTGGATTCATAGTTGTTGAATAAAAAAACTGCTTGTCATTGGAGTGTAGAGAGTAGTGGTTACTAATTCTGCCAGTCAATTTTGAAGACTTCATAAAAAAGGTGATATTTGAAATGAGCCTTGAAGCAGAGGTAGGAACTTGCTATTGGGGGTGGGATGAGGCTTAGAAGGATGAGAAAGGTGGCATTCCAGTATGACACAGTCTTAGCCCTGGACATATGAAATCACATAACACGTGTGTGAAGGACAAAAAGTTGTGGTGGGGCAGGATCACCCTGCGTAGGGAAGTGTGAAGGCAGGAGATGAGGCCAACATGGAAGGCTGAGGTCAGGCTGGGAAAGAAAGGCCTTGCCAGTCAGGCTAGGTTTGAACTTCACAGCAGTACAGTTGGGAAGACCAAAAGATTTTAAGCTTTTAAGTGAAATGATCACCTTTGTCATTCTTAGAGATATGGCAGCATGGTAGCATGGTGGCTGGCTGGCTAGTAGAACATTTATTAAGTCTGTTGTTGAAGCCTGGATAAGAAATGATAAAGATGTGGCTGTGACACTACAGATGTTGAGAAGGACAGATCTGAAAGCAATTCTAGGAGACCGAATTCAAGGGACTTGGTGATCGATAAGAAGCAAAGGGTAACGTAGAAGAGGGATTTCATATTTTAGCTCTTCTGATGCCTGAAGAGTGTTGTACATTTGGAGTGAACATATTTATTTTTTTCCTGATTAATAAGTGTTACATGTTTTTTACAAAATACAGTAAAGTATAAAGAAGAAAACAAAAAAATCACCTATTATCCCATCACATAGAGGCAACCACTGCTGACATTTACAGTGCATTTCTTTGTATCATTAAAATAAAATACATTTCTGAAAACAGATCCTAAGGATTCTGTCTCCATCAGGAACTCAGTGTCTCATAAATTGCATTAATATATTGGTCTTCATTTTGAACCCAAATAGTGTTTTGATTAAGCTATGAGCTGAGACAATTAAAAAAAAAATCAAGTGATCTAGGCACATGGACTGGAATTTCAGAAGAAGGAATTTCTTCCTTGGAAACTAAATAAGTGGCAGTGATAACACCTAGGACATGCCCTCATTGGTACCAGATTCTAACTCACATAGTCACTGTGGGGTAGTTCCAGGTTCAGTTTGATGAATTCCTGTTCGGTTCATTCAATGTGCTGAACCCTGGAGGGAGACAGCCGCAGTTATCACTTCTCGTGTCCAAAGGTTCTAAAGGAGTGCTGATTATTTTTGTCCACTTGAACCCTTAGCTTCTGTAAATCTGTGAACATAAAGTAACAAAAACTTTCTGAGGGAATGGGAGGGAAGTTAAGAAAAAGAAAACGAATAAGGATATTTTAATATTGAGAGGGGATAGATGATGGAGAAGATTCAGAGGTGACCTGCCTGAAAAACTCGGAGAACAGCAAGTCCAAGGAGAAGAGAGAGGGACCTTAAAGAAGGATAAAGGGAGTCACTGGGGCGGGCAGTCCTCGCGAAGGTAGCTCTGCAGGCCAGGTACCCGGCGGAGCTGGGGCAGTTGCGAGCTCCGGGTCTCGAGCTCCGAACTCCCGGGCGGACCTGCGGAATCCTTCCTCCAGACCTTCCCTAGGACCTTCCCTGGTCACTTTCCCTGGTCACCTTCTCTTCTGCCAGCTCCCGGGGGTGTTCAGAGGGGTGGGGAGTAAGGCCGTGCTCCGCTTCCAGTCTGAGGTTCTGGATGGAAAAATCCAGGAGTCAGATATAATTTGCAACAAGGAAGAGAAGATCAATATCTCCCGGGGGACAGGGGTGGAGGGGGGAGGGAGAGGCTTCACTTGGGGGAAAGGTCGGCAGAGTGGGAGAATGATGCGCACCAAAACCCACAACCGGATTCCCAAATCCTCACGAAGACCCGCCTCGCAGACTCTCCCCGTCCCTCGTCCAACTCGCAATCTGAGTCCTCTATCGCAAACGTCAAGTGGTCTAGGTCTGCCCTGGGTTCGGAGCTCGACTTGGTTTTCAGCCCTGGTTCTTGCGTGCCACGGGTTTCGCGCGGCCCTGGGGGTGGCTGAGAGTAAGATTTGGTTGGGGCCATGTCCCACTGTCAGGCTTTCCATCATTTATCAGCTAGCCAGAGTGAGGCGAGTGGCGCAGGGGTCGCTCACAGGAAGGAATCGCCGCAACCTGAACAAACACAGCTCGTTTTGAACGCTCAGTGGGAACTAGCTTCACCGGCAAGTCTCAAGTCCTCCCGGTTTCCGCCCGCAGAACTAGGCTTACTCACCCTGCAAGGGGGAATGCGGAGCCGGGCGTCCCAAGAGTGTGGGGTTGCAGGCTCCCGCGGGCCGGAGTTTGCAGACTTGGCGCTCAGGCCAATACTCCGGGAGTTGGATCTTGCGCGCCGGGCCAATGAGCGCGCCCGGGGCGGGCTCGGCTCTCCCCCGCCCCCACCCCCGCGCGCGCTGATTGGTCCTGCGGCCGGCGAGGCCGGGCTGGCCGGCGGCGGCCGCGAGTGCCCGGCGCGAGTGGGAGTGGCGCGCGCTCCCCTCCCCTCCCTGTTGCGTTTTTTCTCTCTCTCCTTCCTCCTCCCTCCCTCGCTCCCTCCCCGCATCCCCTGCTCCGGCCGCGCGCTGGCGGGGCTCTGCATTGCACACTCCGGGGGCGCCGCAGTGTTCGTGGGATGGGGCAGCGGGCTGCCGCTGGCGGCCGGAATCCGCGCGCAGCCAGGGTGAGTAGAGGCGGGCTTCCTGGGAGAGCACAAAAGGAGACGGGATTGGTGCCAGCGGCCCGAACTGATGCCGGGCCGGGGCCAACCGGGGAGTGAGCTTAGTCCCTGGAGCTACCCAGTGCTAGGACAGCCTCCCGGGGCCAGCAGAGCTGGAGTCCTCGCCTCCACGTTCCGCTCCGGTATTTTGCTCGGGAGTGGGCAGCCAGCACTGTGCGCAGCCTGGGCAGGTCCAGAGGGGCGTGTGTGCGTGTGTGTAGTGCTGGCGCTCAGAGGGTGGGATGGAAATGTCAGGGGCTGCCAAGTTCTACGCTGGAGGAATCTTTCCCGAGAGTAATTCAGCATCTTCCCAGGGCCAAACGTACGTCCACCTGGAACTCCAGCCGGAGGGAGTTCCCGGGCGGGGGAGTGGCAGCGCCCCACATGTTGCTGCGGGGCAGGCGGG